CCTGAAAATTAATTGTAAATATTAATCCAGTGCTTGGGTTTTAGAAGTATTATTCAGCAATAAGCTCGATGATTATGCGCATTTTTAGTAGATTAATCATCATTGACTCGTTTACATTATATGTTATAATATTTAATTTGTTTATTTACTCTCTAATTTATTCTGATATTATATCTATTTTGATACTTTTAATAAGTAATCTGTCCTGTAATGTCAACTCTATTGATTTTAATATGTTACTTTACCAAGTTAATTTATTTATTTACTCCCTAATTTATTCTGATGTTATATCTATTTTGATAATTTTATAGTTAGTCTGTCCTGTACTGTCCACTCTGTTGATTTTAATCTGTACTTTTATCTATTTTATCTAACTAATTGAATTAATTTATTTTAACTTACCTTTACCTTTGTGGTTGTAATAAAGGCTAATGACCTAAGCTGTCGATGCTTCAAAGAGAGAGAAAAAAAATTTAGGATAATTCGCAAAATAATCGGTCAATATCATTTTTAGAATTTACTTTGATTTTGCTGAATTAAAATTTAGAAATTAAACTATATTGAATCCGCAATGATTGCACCATGCAACGTATTGTTATATATTATTTTAAAATATTCTTTATTGATAAATATTTTAATATTTAAACAAATCATTTTACTGCTGTAAATATTGATTTGTGTATTTTTCATTGATTAATGAAAATAAAAAGGATATATTCGTCATTTTTATCGCGTGGAACAGTAAAAATAATGTCAGCCGTAAAAAATGCAAACACAACTCATTTTTAATTAATTGCAAGTGCTCAAACGTGCCTAGAATCAATTATTTATTTCACAAGCTTTATGTTTTATTAAATGGTGTTTGTTTATTTTATGAAGGTTCTGTGATTAATACAAAATAAACATGTTTATTGATGTAATATTTTATTAATAATTTGATTTGCTAGCATTTTTTATACATATTATTTAACTAAATAAAACATTAAAATTAAAATGTAGAGTGGGTGCGTAAGGTATTTGAGAACATCTTGGTTGTACTTCATTCTAGTGAATTCACTTTTCAGGTTAGTAATTTAAAAGTAATGGCAGACCCACAGATTACTAAAGAATTGAAAAGATTTGAAAATATCGCAATTTCTAAAACTCGCTAGATCATTCGTTTATAAATTTTGTAAGGAGTTGTAGAATTAAGCAACATATAACAAGTGTTCAAACATAAAAAACAAAAAACACAAAACTAGAATTTGGTCAAGGAATTCAACAAACCAGCGTTTCTCAAACTTTTTGGTCCACTACCTCTATTTGCACTTAAAAAATTGAAAAGATTGCCCCAATAATAAGTATGTGTAGATAAACATCCTGGATTAATTTGTCGTCAATTCTTTGAGAATCACTGCTATCACTGCATTTTGACGTGTGTAGCTTTTTTATAAGAGAAGTCAATGAACATACCTATGCCACTAAAAACTACTAGAAAGCTGCTATAGTCAGAGTAATGTCTACTATGAATCATAATCATTTAATTCAAGCTTATCCAGGATTTAAATCCCGTGTAGAGATGCTGGCGGTTGTTTTATTCAATGATTTTATAAAGAAATATAATGTCTTCAATCCTTAACAATTTTTCACAAATAAAGTTATTTTCTTTTGTAGTATTTGTTACTTTTTTGGCGATGATAAATCTGTCCTCAAATTTAAGCGAAATGCAAAAACTATAAATAAAAATTACTTCACATAGTACAGGTTTTGCCAAAAAAAAGAGGAAAAAAAATCCAAACTGTACTATTTTTAGTTTTATCTGTTATATTTATTAGAAACTGTACCGTAAATATTTTTTTATATGTCATTATCAATATTTATATATAATTTTGGTTATTATATAATATATGCAAATCATACAAATAATAGATGTATTCAGTATTTTATATTTGTTAATTTAAAGTTTTTTAAATTAATATAATTTGCTGCTATTAACGTTAGAATAATGTACATGCGAATCTAGAAAATTAAAAACATGTATATATGTTTAAAAGCACTATATTTAAATTAGTCGTAACAAAATGATAAAAATTAAAATAAATTTTCTTATGGGCAAGAGATCAAATAAATTAAGATAAATTACATGGTGGAAGAGTTCTGTGAACACGAAGGCTGCCGTTGGCTTCGGTATTGTGGCCGCTCTGATTTACACGTTCATCGTGCAGCTGGAAACTGCACGTTACTTGTTTATGAATGCCATTACCCGGCGCATCCACCGTATATTACACCCACATAGTGAACTGAACTACCAACAATAATGCCTAACCCACATTCGTTGTCCACGTATGCTCGCATATAGATTTAAACTCCAATGGTTTTATGAAATCCACTTTTCGGATTTACGGACTGCGAGCTTTCCCGCCTTCAGATTCAATACAGAATTAAATGGCTAATCTGTTTCCGAGCCGTCAATCTCCCAGCTAACCTGCACTGAACTCGAATGAATTGAATTTCCAATGTCTGCCGCGTCTCGAAATCCTGTTCCATTTAAATCTTCTGCAACAAAATTCAATCCGACGTCGTGTCTTAGATGAAGAAAAATAAAAACGGTTTGAAAGAAACTGGGTTCATCGTATATATTCTTATAAAGTAAAATTAGATTTTGTAATATATTCCGAGTTTTATTCCTTTATGTAGATGAAGTCCATATCTATTTGTTATTCAAATATTTACCTGTTTTTGATGCATAGTACGCACTTCAAAATATAATTATCGTGTTGACATAAACACTAAAACATGGAACATAGAAGAATCTACGAAAAAATCTGTCAAATTATTACGTTATCAACACTAATGTCCATTTAATGTGCACATTAAATATTTAATACTTTTTCTAATATACATTAATCGCTTATTGGCTTAAAATAATAGATTTATATAAAATTATTAATATAACCTTTGAAATCAATACTCCGGGAAGAATATCACGTATTTCAACACAATAACAGATATGTTTCTTAAAATTGCAAAGGAATTTAAAAAATATTGAGTTATTTATTATATTTTAACAATAACTACCTTGTAACACGCACCTTTGAAAAAAACTGTGTAATATATTTATTCGTTTGAAATTTAGGTCCATAAATAATATTTATAATATTTGGTATGAACGTGTCACTCTTGAAAGATACTATGGTCATGAATACAGTCGAATATTGCCCAAGTTGTTGTTTTATTAGTCATCCTAGGAACTTATTAAGTGAGGTGTTATATTTTATCTTTTTGAATAGTATCACCATTATAAAATATATATAACCAGTATTTAGAAAACTTGTAAAAACTATGAAATTATTTTTAACAACCATTTTTCATTTCACAATATGTTGTCAATTATAATATATTCTCCGGGTGGAAAGACGTCAGTCCGTAGCAATTATTATTTTATTTATTTAATATTTTTTGTTTATTATAATTCGAGGAAAATGGCTAAATTGCAAACAAGTACTTACTATTTTTTTAAATTATGATAATTATTATAACATATTATTTTATTTAAACATATTTATTGGACACAATCTGTTCCAAAGAGTATGACTAATAGGGAAACGTTATGATTTTTTTAAACCTAAACTTTTGTTAATTGAAATATACATTTTAAATATTATAATTAGTATTAATTTATATCATATAAGAATTTATAAAAAAAAAATACAACAATTTTTAAGTTTCATACTACGAGAGAACATCACTAACTTTAATATCGTATAACACCAAATTTAACCGAATTACTTTTAATATGAATGTAAATATTTTTTTTATATTATCCATATATAAATTAATAAATTTGGATGTAACTACAAATACTGTTATTATTAATAAGTTGCAAATGCTAAACTTGATAAATAAATAATGCATTATTATTAAAAGCGCTATAGGATAATTTCATATTAATTTGAAAATCAAATATTTATGGTTTATCGAATTTTCATGTCAATGGTAAATTGTATTTGAAATTAATATTTAGCTTCTATAAATTATTCATACATACACATTTGTTATGTATGAAGATTATCTATTTATTATTATCTGAAATTGTGATAAATTGTTTTATTTTTTAAGCGGAAAGACCTAAGTCGACAAACTAATTATTAATTTTTTGATATTGTTTATTAATTTAATTATAGAATGTTCCTGTTTTCAAGGTTCATTTTTAAATATATATATTTTTTTTCAATTTTCTGCAATTTATATTTAATTATAATATTAATTATTATTATTTTATATAATATGAATAACAAATTTGAGAGACTTGAGTTTACTTAATGTTCAAAAAGTGACAATTGTTAATTCGTAAAATAATCATTTTATAGATTGCTGTTTAAGTGCTCTTTTAATTTTATTACTCAATAGTCATGAAATAACATAGGAACTACCGACTTTTGTATGGTATATTGTTGAAATTAATATTGTGCTCAAAAATCTGCTAACAAATTTTCTTGTGGATTACTTTGTATGCGCTCTTTTACTTTATTACTATTAAACATAATGTGAAATATAAAATGATTAAGTAACTATCATATCTCTGAAGAGAACTTTTGATACATGTTTTTTAAGAGGCCTTTAGTGTTTCTAACAAAAACTGGCGAATGTGGCAATATAAAATTACTCACTTTAGCTCTGAAAAGATTTATTTTTCTTCTTATTTTTACTTTTATTATTATAAATGGTCTCCCGTGTTGCTCGCAAAACCTACACTCACTTTAATGCCGGTTCCTGTGCGAGGGATTGCGTTTTTCTTTTATTTATCGACGTAGGCTTTGTGCCGGAGATCTTTTGGAGGGCATTTTGCGTGATTACAACTTAAGAGGGAGGAAAACTGGTTCGCCTCTAATTGGAAACATTAATGTACACGTGCGAGGTGTAACTAACGAGGCCACAACGGATCGTCCGTCTCATCTGCTAAACGAGTTTATTTGGATTCAGCAAATAATTAACTAACTTCGTTTTGTAATTGCTTTCAGACTGATTTGGAGTACGTCCTTCAGGTTGCTAAAGAGGTTGAGTTAAGGTAAAGTGGTAGCAACAATACTTTCATAGAAATAACGTACTTAATTTTCTTATTCTTTTTGTATGAGCAGGTTTTCGAGTCAAGTGGAATCTGGCTTGATTGAAGTGATATCGCCTTCGTTAGCTTATTACCCTGACTTGGATAAGCTACGAAAGACACTTGGAGATTCACACGAGCGCGTCAAGTGGAGGTCCAAGCAGAATCTGGACTTTGCCTTTCTCATGTCTTATTGCCAACCGAAAGGTACATTCTACGTTCAACTCGAAGACGATATTCTAGCGAAACCGTACTATATATCCGAAATGAAAAAGTTCGCATTGGAAAAGACGGCAAATAAGGAGCCATGGTTCGTACTCGACTTCTGCCAATTAGGGTTTATAGGTAATGCTAAGAAAGTATATAATCTGTATGCAAATAATACTAATAATGTTCTTTGTAGGCAAGATGTTCAAGAGCGCCGAACTGCCGTGGTTGATCCAGTTTTTTCAGATGTTCTACAACGATAAGCCGGTGGATTGGCTGCTCGACGATCTCATCTACACAAAGATTTGCAATACAGAGAAAAACAAGGCGAGTAGCTGTAGTCGTTAACAGACGGTGAGCGATTAAAGAAAAAGGGGGAAATGGAAACGCCCTTTGTTCTTTGCTTGCTTTTCGTTAAGTCCTTTTCAGCTGAAGAGGCAATTCGCAATTTCCTTCCTATTTTTATGCTTTAATTTTAATCTCTTTGTTTGTTTTCTTTCTCTTTCCCTGCTATTTCTTTATACTCCTTTTCCCTCTGCAAACAGGACTTTTACAAACGAGATAAGGCCAAGATGTGGATCCACTACAAGCCCTCGTTGTTCCAGCACATCGGCACGCATTCCTCACTAAAAGGAAAAGTTCAAAAGCTAAAGGTAAATATTCACTATTTATTTAATACATTATTATCTTGAATTCTCTAAAATATATCAAATAACTTACAATATAAAGTATTTATTCGAAACTTTGCTTTGCAAACATTTTTTTTACAAATCAGTAATTTCGTATTTCACATATATAGAGAAGATGAAAAAATTGGTTTATTTTTCTTATATTGAAATTTTTTACTCACCTTTTTTAATGCACATTTTTAATAAATTATATCAAATGTACAACTTTTTTTTTTTCTTATTTGCCACTTAACAAAAGTGAACATAGATACAGTTATTATTATTATTAAATTTATTACAATTTAACTTAAAATTCTAGAATTGTTATTATCATCATTTTAACAAATTCAACTATTAATAATTTTCGGATTAGAATATTCAACTTCTTATATTTTCTTATTTTAATTGCTTCAATACTGCTATTATAAATATTACTAAGTAAATAGTTATTACTTTTTGAATATTACATTATATAAAGATTATTTTTTGTTCACAACCAGATGGCGCTGATTATAAACTTCTTGAAAGATAGACTATTTTTCTTTTTGATTTAAAAAATAAGTTCATCTCGAACTAGTTTTGGATTCATGAATAATCGGGCACAGCTCGATGTGAACAAGTTTTACAGTTAAGTGAAATGCACGTCTTTTTGCAAAAGTAGCATAAAGTAGCAAACTTTGAACAAACTTGACTTCAACCAACTTTTTATTTTCATAATAATTGTTATAACTACCGTTCTTCAAAGTATAATTTACAGAATTATAAAATTGTTGATTCAGTTTTAACGAAAATAATCATCATATTTTTTTTTGTTATAATTTGTAATATTTATAACATATGTAAGTTTGTAAACAGATAATTATATTTAAACATAATTAGTATAAAAGCATTACATTTGTTAAACATAATGAAACTAATTCATGCACGCACTGCCTGAAACAAACAAAAAACGTTAGTGTTCTTACAAATTACAAGTTCCGACAGATTACACGTGTATTTTTTTTATTTTTAACCATAAAATATATGAAACTTACCGTTTCCATAGAAGAGTATATATTTACTATTATATACAGTTATAAACAGTTAATATCGATTTTGAAGGAACTTTATTAATTTTTGAAATAATAATAATTTTATAGAAAATTACTAGCATCATAAAAAAATACATATAAAATATCAACATTTTTTAATTATATAAATGTGTAAATATTTCCTACTATTTAATTATTGTTTTAAATAACTAAACTTTGACGGATCTAATCTGAATTACGTATGGATCAATGGTTGCCAACATTTAGAAACATTGCTTCCAACTGTTACATAAATTAATACTATATATTAGTACAATTTATTTTTTTCTCTAAACTTTTAACTGAAATCATTGAATTTTACTATTTTTGTAATATTTGCTTTATTATATTTATTAAAAATCATTGAAGCATTTCTTTAAACATTACATGTCCTTAAATATTATTAAATTTAAATCAATTTAAACATGAAAAAACTTTATTTTACAAAAAAATCAAGGTAAAGGACAGCAATTTTTAGACATATTTTATTGTGTCACAAAATAGTTTTGCTTCGTTTTGTGGATGAAATAATAATACAGGACACTAGTCAGTGGACAGCATGCGATAAAGTATTACCGAACTATTGATTTTTAGTAGTATTGTCCTCTATTCAACGATATTGCATTATTTGAATGATGGAAGCATATACATCATTTGACAAAGAAATTATTCCAATTCGATGAAAATTTTAAAGGCCAATCATTTTCCTAGAATACAATAGGAATTACTATTCAAATTATTGAACTAGTTTAGATTTTCTCTTTTTAAATTATTTTATACCATTTTGCAATATATTTTTGCAAAGAATTATTTATTAAATATTAATTTTATATTAATATTTGGAGAGTAGGTCTCTTTTCAACAATTAAATTTAGTTTTATTTTCTTATGTTATTGTCTTAAGTTTCTATTATGACTGTTGAAATAAATATTATTATAATAAGACTATATTATAAATGAAATAAGACTAGCTCTTTTTTCTTGTTTGTATTTATTTAACGTTTGAAATCTGTTGTAAAATCTAATGTATTTGTGTTTCAGGATAAACAATTTGGCAAGGTGGCATTATTCTTCCCACACGCAAATCCGGAAGCGGAAATTGTGTCCGGTATTAAGAGCTACAAACAGTATAATTTGCACCGTGCGTACCTCGGGGAAACTTTCTTCTGGGGTCTTCTGCCGCAACCAGGAGATCAGCTGCTTTTCAAATTCAAATCGCCCACTCTCGTCAAAAGGTCAATATAGTTTTTTTTTTTAATATTTCGTAACGAATGTATTTGTAATTACTCTTATTTTTTTTGTCCACGTTTTCAGATTCTTCTTTAGGAGCGGAAATGCAGAACATCCATCCGATAAGTTCTACAATACGACGGTGGAAGTGCTTCCAGTCGATCCGTACCCCGGCTCCTCCACCGCGAACGTCACTTCCGACGGATACATCGTCATTGGTAAACAGCTGAATCCTCTATCCGCTCTGCGAACGCCGCATTCCTAATCCGTGAGTTTTGCTTTTTTATTTTCAGGAAAATTCGATGGCGTTGGTATAGCAACCGGAAATCCAGACGAGTCCATCGGCAAGGTTTCAGCTCTACGTCTCTATGTGCACAGCGAAAGCGATAATTGGGCTATCCTAAGCGAGGTAATACAATATGACACTACTATATCTTCTAGTTTAGTTTATAGAAAAAATTATCTGAACACACAGATTCTTATAAAACTAGATCAATTTCCGTACAAATAACCAATTTAAAAGAAAATATTTGCGACGTAAAGTAAATAATGATTTTATTCGACGTAAAATACATATTAAATTGCGAATATTATTTAATAATATAAATATAACTTAAAATATAGAATCATTTAATTGTAAATTGTAGTACAATTCAGAATATTGTTAAGCATTCGATTTGAGACCTTTTTGTTACAAATGAATTGATTACTAAGAATTGTTATAACAGTTACTAAAATAAAAAGTTATTTAAAATAAAAGTTACATTAATTTTAGCTTTTCGAGGTATACAAAGTTGAGCATAATAATATCGAGAAATTGAGGTTCAAAAATGTAGTAATAATGTCGTGTCCCGGGATTAAGAAATCCTTGGACACCGTGGATTATCTCGTAGTTACGTCTTTGCGGAGTCTTAGAGGGGTTTATGAATATTAAATGCAATATTCTTAATTAACTTATTTGTATACATCGGAGTTTTATTGAGAAGTTTAACTAAACAATAGTTGATTTCAGATATTATTACTAAGAGTTACATTCTCCTCTTAAGTTAGTATTTATGAAGTAAGTGCTCTTCCTTGGACTCTCCAAGTAAGACCAACTTCTCAGTTTGACCCCTTAGCTAAGACTAAATTATATAATACAAAAATGTGTTCATTTCAAAAAAGGGGTGTGTAGGAGGTAAGGAGCTTGTGGAATATACAAGCGTTTCTTTATTTAAGTTTTATGATCCTACCCAAATATTTAGGGGCAGAAGAAGGCTGTTAAGTGGTGATACAAGAGACGCAACTATACGATTCAATGTGTAACCGTCCTTCGAAATATTCCACAAGTTAATCTAAATAATCAGGTACAAGTATCCGTTTGTATATTTGATGGATACGTTAAATATGATTTGTAATAATTAATAGGAAAGTGGTAGACCTAACAAATATACATATTAGTTATACAAAAAATGACATTAAATTGGTCGGCCACGCCAATAATAATAAAAATAAACACATTACATGTGGTTAATAATAATATTAGATATATAGTGGAACCTCCTCGCTTAACAAGGATTAATTCTAAAATTTCCGGATTTTTACTCCACTATACGAAACATATTCCAAAATACACATAATATATGTACACAAGTTTTAAAAACGATGTAGCAGGCGCGCAATCAAAATATTATTAGGTACCAGTTTCAAAACACCCTGAATATAAATAATAACAACAAATTCAAAAACTTATAACTTATTTAATTACATATTTATTGATTATTTAATTAATAGTTTGAAAAGAATATTAATAAAACAGGCATATGAAATTTTGAGATCCATTTTATAATGCAGTTTTTTAATTACGTCTTTTTTTATTAATTAATTAATGATGTTTGGGCTAGTCATGCAAATATAGGTGCGACCGGGCCCCTAAGGTCTCCATGACGAGTCTCCCCTGCATAAATGCCACAAAAATACTTATCTAATGAATGTAAAGTTCACTTTTATGCACTAATTAGAATTATATTCTGACAAAGTGTTTACTTAACTTTACATAAGTAGGAACATAATGTCATTGTTATGTATATATTATTATTAATAATAATAATTATTGTAACATTATACATTAAATAATAATAAAAAACAGAATTTCAACCTTATATTGTTATTAGTGCCAAAACTATCGGCATCTACACTATTATATATCATATTTACTAGTCTAATATTTGAACATCTATTTCGTGTATATTCTGTATAACATCATTGAAACTAAATTGACAGCTGTAATTGTATGTAAACATTACTGCAGTACCAACATGCATACATGTATTTACTATATTTAATTATTGACATCATAGATAATGTGTTTCATATTGTATCATAAACTGTGTACAATGACACGCGTATCAGGAAATGGTGTGAATACTGCAAAAGATAAACAAATTGAATATACAGTGGAACCTCGCTTAACGAGCAAAATAAATTATAAGAAAAATGACTCGCATAACGACTGACGAGGAGAAGAGAAGTCCCGGATTATGCACTTGCTACATCATTTTCAAATATGTATATACCATTTTCGTTTTTTTGGTCATATTTGGACATATAGTGGACTTTATTTTGCAAATAAAATTTGTGTTTGCTGGAAAAGCACAACAAAAATCTATTGTAACCATTATGTACGCTTTTTTATATAAACAAATATTAAAAGTATAAAAACACCCCGGATCGATACAAGGTATTTCTGTCTCTTGAACGTAGTCATTCTAGTTGCATCTTAGTATTGTTTGTGATCACACATATTTCCAAACTTGTGTTCAGACATGTTATTTGTGATTTTTTTTTGTGCAAAATTTAATAACACTTGTATGTCTCCGAATAAGATGGCAAATAATAAAAATAAATATAGATATGAAAAGCAAAGATATAAATATCGCACATAATGTACTTGGTATTCCTGTTCACAAATACTTTTTTTGCACATATTTAGGTATAATTTATAAAATGCGTGGACATAAAGACCTATGGTAAATAGCCCTTTCCACAGGTGATTTTTTGTGACTATTATTATTTTGAAGCAATATATTTTACATTTCAATATTTATCTTTAATCAAGAAAACAGTAATATTATATCTATTTTGTTCAAGATCTTAATCAATTTTTAAATTATATCTTCAGTTTTATTATATTTACTATTTTCTTGTGTCATTTCAATTGCAGTATACCTGCACCAAGTAGGCACCTTGTTTGAAACATTAGATGTGCATTGAATTGTAATGGGAGTTTTGTTTTTCTGTTTGCAGATTCATATCCAAGACGAATATTCGACTGCCAGGTGACCTGAGAGCGGCGGTCGAGTCCCAATGTCGTTTCCTCACGTCCGCCATCGCTACACACTCGACCGCACACCCCCGCATCCTCTGTGATATATTAATAAACCTTCCCCCCAAAAAACCCAAACCCTCTTGGTAAGACCACATCACGCTGAGGCACGCCATGCATACTACTCCCCCACCACCCCTTATACACACACAAACCCATACTCGACAACCGCAAATGCAACCCCCTGAAGACGTGCGACTGGCGTACGACCACGGAAACACCATTGTCACTTCGATTGGTCCGACTACCACTAATCTAAACTACCATATAATTATGTACATATTCAAGAGTGGCCTAAACGCCGAATGAAATTTCATACCCCAAGGAACACACATCCTCACCTCATGCATTATATATATATAATAAATCAATAAATAAAAGAAAATATATATATATGGAATAAGAATATAAGAAATAAAAAATAAACGTATTTTATTAAGATATTAATATTTAGCGTTAACGATGAGAATGAAGACAATGTGGATGGATGTAACAGAGAATCAAAATTTTTAAATCGGATCGGCCAACATGGAATTGCTGTTTAAGATTTTTTTTACACATTTTCCAATGATTGTCTTTTCTATTTGCTACAACTCTTTTATTTTCTAACTGTCTATTATCTTCCTCCCATGTCACGAATATATTATTAGTTTTTAACATTATTGTTGTTGTTATTATTTCGTAATTTATTGTAATAAAGTAATATATATGTACAAAAAATCTAAATTTAACATGTTTGATAACCTATAACCCAGCGTTCCAACTTTTTTATCGCTTGATAAACATATTTGTTTATAATTTTACAGAGTCTCAATTGTTATAACATATTTTTTTGATGATTTGGCGCAAGAAGCAATTTGTCATTGCCCGGGCCCCATTGAGTATTTGATCAAATATGCCTATATAACAGACTTTTTAATGATTATAGCAAAAATACTCCAAAATGTTATAACCTTATATAAATATACTGTTTTTTTCTCTCTATAAAACAAGATTTTATAACGTTGCTGATCTGAAGAAGTGATCACATTGTTTTACAACATATTTTGCACATTACATGATATTATGGAAATTTTGAATCATAATGAAATCGAATAAGGACAAAACAAAACGGAATTTCACGATTACAGAAAATGTAAGGCTTTGAACTATTGATTGAGGTACTATACAACTTGTTTAAGAAATTCATTCGAAAGAAGGCAAAAGTATTTGACTTTTACAATTTAACATAAATCTTCTGTATTTTTTGACTTATATATATATTTTTCTAAATTGAACAATTTAGTTTGTTTAATTGAATTGCTTAGTTTCTAAAACAATTTTGAAAAGAAATACAAAAAAATAAGATTATTATTTTATAAAATAAATGAAATTAATTTAATTTAAAATAAAAACTCGGTGTGATAAAAGTTCAGTGTAATTGCATTATATCACAGTAGGCCACCAACAATACAGTGTCTGAGCAAGTGTACATTTGGATGTTAAGTAGCATTATTTATGCATTAGCCCATTTTTTTTAAATTACTTAGCTTTAGTTAATTATTATTAATTAATTCCTTTAATTATAAATTTAATTATTATCTTAAGTACAAATTAACAATAAATCATAAGTCTAATAGATTTGAGTACTAATATCTGATTATTATTTTATTCTCTATTCAATATATAAATTTATATATATGTATGTAAAGATATAGTTGTAAAGATGCGATCATTTGGCAAGTGAACAATATCTACTCTAAATGTAGAATATTTGTATAGATTAGATTATATCATTATTACTCAATGTTCAAATTGGTTTAGGCATGATAGTTTTTTCTTCTTTTCCTCACCTCACCAAACATAATGATATTATATTATCTTTTATTAGCGTTTTGCATGTACCTCCATGATAATATTCTATTAAATTGAATAGTAACGAGCGCAAACTTTATTTCCTTTGTACCATTCACTATGTTTAAAGAAAATTATTTTAATTTACTTGTTATTATTTTGTTTTATTAATACAAGAAAAAAAATATTATTTTGGTTGAACTTACCTATACATGTTTAAATTTTAAAAAAATCATAAATTTAAGTTAAACTATAAATTATATTTTTCTTTCATTTGGATGAATTTTGTTAGAATAAAAAATAATTGATAAAAAAGAAATCAACCGATATAGGTATTCAAAATGATAAATTGGTATAAAATAACAAATATTTATTTATAAAAAAAATAATATATAATATATTTACAAATTCAACATCAATCACTTTACTGGTACTACGTTTCCATGTCTATCATGTTTGTGTTTAGTCAAAAATGACTATCTTAATTATAATTGGGTTTACTTATGTTAGTATTGGTGTATCCTATTATGGATGAGGATTGTTATCACGAACGTAGGGAAATAAGACCCTTGTATGGTACCGGGCTAGCAGTAACACCATCTTGCGCATCCGTACATGGTTTTGGATGACCTTCAGGTACAGAAAAGTTAAAATTCTGCAAGAGACTTGCGATGAAGATGAAGAGATTGCCTCTGGCCAGCGATTCTCCCAAACATCTCCTCTTGCCAATACCGAACGGAATGAAGTTGTCTAATACGGATGTGTCATTCTCTAAGAAGCGTTCCGGACGGAACGTCTTTGGATCATCCCATATGCATTCGGCTCCGAAGAATACGCTGTGGAATGTTGGAACGATCATCGTGCCCTAAAACATACAACAGTTAGACTCATTCTTACTAATACTATATTGAAATTGATTACTTTAGGAATGTAATATCCGCAAAGCGAGGTATCTCTTAAAGCCCTATGAGGAACTCCGAAAGTCATAGCCATAAAGTGTCTTAGAGTTTCCATGACGATGGCTTCCACATAAGGCAAGCTAAGGACATAAAATCGTTAATAAATCGTTTCATTTAATAATTATTATATATCTATACTTTGGTCTGTCGTTTAATGATGGTGTTCTATTTCTTCCAACGACGGAATCTATTTCTTCCTGAGCTTTCTTCTGCACTTCAGGATTGAGGATGAGGTGCAGGAAGCAGAATCCGAAAGATTTTGTTGTAGTCTCCGAGCCGGCCATGAAGAAATCCAAGCAAATGGCCAGCAATTGTTCTTCCGTGAAAGTTCCTGGTTTATCCGGAGAATTGATCATTTCCAGGTAGACATCAATGAGGTCACGAGGTTCTCCCGGTATGTGGGTGCGCTTGTGCTCTTCAATCTCCTTATTAATGAAAGTCCAGATAGGTTTATGCGTCTGCATGTATAGATTGTAGCCCGACATTTCTGGAGCGAAATACCTTAGAATCGGGAAATGGCTGAACAAAGTGCCCATCATATCGATGTTCTTGAAGAGTTTGTTCAAGATGCTTTGTAAATGAATGAGGTTTTCATCGTCCGGGCTGTACTTTGTTCCGGCCAACATCGTCCAGAGAGTGTTCAACACGTGGATGCCGAACATCGTGTCCATTTGAAGAACCACCTCTCCCTTCTTTCCCATCTGCTCCTTAATGTGATTCACCATGACCTCGGCCTCCTGCTCGATCATCTCTGACATATTTCTCTTTCCAAACCCGAATTCCCTCAGATGTCTCAAGATGAACTTCCTCTGCTCAGTCCAAAAGGCTTCATCGGTTAATAGCACACCTTTCCTGCCGAACGTTCTCAGCTCGTAGAAAGGCCCGGTCGGCCTTCCATTCAGATTCTCATTCATCAAGAACTCTTTGATCGCTTGCATGCCATACGCCATGACGATCTTCTCCTGTCCGATCTTCAGACCAATCAACGGCCCGTATTTTCGGGACATATGCGCCACGGAATTTGCCAATGTACCATACTTCTTCCTTAATTTTGCAACAGTATAAGCACTGCCCAACATAGGGAACCATTTTGGACCAGGTGGATAGTTCTTCGGCTTCACCGAATCCAAATAGAACAGCAAGAGGATTATCGATAGAAAAAGCACGACAGCTATCCACATCTTTCTTTTTAACAACAAAAGAGAAATAATTAATATACAAAAAAAAAAGAAATCTTTATTGAGATGATGCTGATGAGTTTATAAATAATATTATACAAGAAAAAATGTTGCATAATTTTTGAAAGGGAAAGCACGGCCAACGGACGAAGTCCACCGTGCGGCGAGATCCGCAGAGTCTCGACTTCCTGCTAAAAGGTGAAAGTTACACAGCCGAGAATTCTGTAATATGTGTAATACTGTTATGCAATTTGAGTGCTAGTATCTCTATCTGCTATACGTCTGATCTAATGACACCCAAAAAGAAAGAGCAAATTACTTAAAATGGATTTCGAGAAATTCACGACACTTAACATACTTTTATCTCTACTCTGACCTACAATCGAAAATGCAATATGCATATTCAATCTCTTACATAATTGTTTGTAAAGAGAAATTTCTTAAATCATACAATTTATTTTATTTTATTAATTGTGTAATTCCGATATTGACAAATTTGTTAAGTAAATTATATAATTGTTAAACTTTAATAGAGAAATAAATAGTTTAATAAATATTTTTTCGTATTTTTTTACATTTATAAATGAAAATATATATTTTGATCATGTATTTTCTTTTTTTTTTCTATGTTACACTATATATTGAGCTTATTTTTAATAACAGGATTTACTATATATCTAAAAGAAATCTGCAGTGGTAAATTTCTACATGTGTAAAGACATAAAATATATAAAACTAAAAGTTTGAAATCAATATTGTTCAATTAAGAAAATAGTAAAATTCTTAGACTAATTAATGACATTCAAAAATTGACAGTGTAATAAGTATATAATAAATATTTTTTCTCTCAATAAATATTTTGTTTTAATTTTATCATTAATTATTTATCTAATTTTATAGTTGTTATGCATATTTTTTCTAAACAAATAAATAATTAATAATTAAATGAAAAAAAAATATTCTTTGGAGTTATGTCTTCTGGATTAGCTAACTGCTAATTAAGATCATGATGAGTATGTAGCATACCTTTTCTTATCTGGTGCGATTAAATATTATTACACCGGCAAAAGCACTTTCACCGCACACTCAAAACAACAAACTTCTTTATTTCCCGTCATCCGCGGCCCTCATATAAGATTTCTCCCACTTTTTCAACATTGAATCCCAATGTTGACGTTGATACAGGGTGATCCCACATAGCTTGTAACGTTCGTGATGTAAACATCCGTTTCGCAACATTCTTAAGAAATTTTTCCAGGCCTGTTATGAACGCGACCAATTATGTCAATAATAAATTTCACGAAAAAGAAAGAAAGAAAAGAAATGAGCGTTGTGTATGCACCCATTACGTGACTTGCTGTGGCGTTTCGAGAGATATTCGTGTTTGATATTTCTCTGTTCACTGTAGAAATTGAGTTTACTTCAAATTATAAATTAATGCGTAAAAATCTATAAGCTTAGAAATATGAAAACTATTATTTTATTAACTGCATTTAGAAAATAATATATAATTGTACTAACTTTGAGTTTTACTTACAGATTGGTTTTGATTTAAATTCAAGAAAATCCTATATCATTTATAACATTTATTGCAGTACTTAAATAGAATACAATATCATTAATTCATAAGTATAATTCTAATTAGTCAGAAGTGTTAATGGTTTAATTTTTAAAATAAAGGAAAGTGTACACTTAATTAACTTAAATAATTATTTCCTTTATTGTCAATTATTTATTTGTTCGACAAATGTATACATAAATATTTAATAATTAAGACAGAGCAATTTTTTATTCCTATTCCTTATTAAATATCAAGTTCATATATAAATTGAACAAACGTTAAATAAAAGTAATAAAAATATTAAAGCATTATATTGAATAATATGAAGATCTTACGTGTGTCGTGAAAATTTGTAAAGATCATTAATTCAATTATTTTTTAAAAAAATCCAGTACACAATAAGTGTACAAATCAAAATTATCACCGTAACTTAAGTGTGCCGCAGATATTTAATTATAAAAACAGGTTTATAAAAACTGACGTAGATGATACTTTATGATTTTAGAAGATGATAGTAAAATGTTCCATATAACAAGAATACACAATACTTCTTAACTGGTGAAGTTTTGCGTAATGTATACAAGATGTGAGAATAACTTTGGAAAATACTTGTACTTACGCAAATCAAATGGGAAAATCTTGACATATAGTAAAACACTTGAGGAAAATTGATTATAAGAAAGTAATTTCGAGTTCTTTGCAAATAATTTGGTTAATCAGTTATATAATTTATTAAATATTTAACAACATAAGTGCACTTTGACTAAAATAATTTTTTTATTCCACTTGTTCAAATAATATTCATAATCAAGAATTGTTATAACTATAATACATTTCTATAAAACATTATACAGTGGAACCTAGCATAACGAGCATAATCCGTTCTAAAATTTACTCATACAGTGAAATACTCGTATAGTGAAACAGTTTTCCTTATATAAACTAATGTAAATATGATAATGCATTCCATGACGAAAAAATGTATAACTTCATCTCGATTTTTAATGATATGAGTTGCACAAAAACATCAAAAATAACATGTCTGAATACATGGAAAATGTGGGGTCACAAACAACACTAAGATACAACTAGAATAACTACTAGTGGAGGTCTTTTTATAATTTTAATATTTGTTTAAATTATAATAATGGTTGAACAAGATACATTTGTGTTTTGCATTTACAGCAAATACTATAATTTGTATTCACAAAATATAGTCCGCCATAAACAAAGATGACAAAGAAAATCGAAGATGTTAATATATTCATAGTATGTGAACAGAAGTTTTGAAAATGATGTAGCAGGCGCAGAATCCGTCAAATTTCTTCTCCTCGTCACTCGTTATGCGGAACGTCGCCTGTTAAGTGAGTCCTTTTTCTTACAATTTATATTAATTTTAATCAAAATGCTAGTTGTGCGTGTTGCTCGTTAAGCGAGGTTCCACTACATAGCAATTCAATAAGAAATACAAGAAAAGGATATTGTCAAAAAAATCATAATTTGTACGTTTTTTTTTACACATTTTAGTACAATTTTAATTATTACACTTATTTTGTGTTACGGAACATATTAGGAACTGTTTCGTCTATATTATTTATTTTTATGATAACTTTGAGTTAATCTCCCTTGATATTATTGAATACATTTCTTTCTTCAAAAGAGCATTTATAACATCAAATTCAAAGGAAATATTATAGAATTTTTATACAAAATACATAAAAACCAATTTTCTTTTTTTTAACTTTTATTTATTTTAAAAATTATTTTACAAGGCTTGTATTATTATTACCAAGAATTACTCTAAACAAAAAAAAGTAATAAAAGGAAGCATAACTCTTTAAGAAGTGAAATTTGACAATCATTGGGAAATTAAATAGAACATTCTGAGTAGCATTATAAAATCAAAAACGCTTCTACATAAACGTTTGTAATGAACTCGTGGGAAACTTCACGATTTCTAGAATCATGGAAAAAAATAAACCCCAAATAAATTTAAATATAATAAATAAGTTAGAAATTAGTTTTATACAGATAAATGAAATATAATAATTTATGTCAATAGGTCAAAAACAAAACAAATATTCATATATAATTGAAACTGTAGTAGATTAGAATTTGTAAATAGTTATCAATTAATGAGTTTTTTTATCGAACAGAATGAACTATGGTCAATAGCCGTTTGCAACAGTTAGATCCTTTAGGGAGGACAGTCCTACTTTTGCAGGTTCTGTCCTTCCTCAAAAGTGTCTGTTTGAAGAAATTAAAAGACTGAATGTATATTTAAATTCTGATAAATTAGAATAATTGGAAAATAATCATGTTGAACTTGATGAAAGTTGGGTGAAAATATTTAACCATTTCAAAAATGAACACATTGCATATGGAAATTTATTTATTCTTGTTGAATTTACGAGTTTTTTTCAATTGTTAATTATTTTTGTCAAGTGAGAAATCAAGATTGAATGTTGATACTCTAGTTGCAACATTTACATGAAAAAATACTTATCTAATTAAATAATTATATGGGATGTAAACATAATTAGTTTATTTTGTTTGAATTAATAAAATGTTTCATTTGATTACGTTGTACTTTCAACTAAAATTTTTTCGTCCTACTTTTAATTGGTCACCTTATCAATAACCCCTTTGCAGTTAACTTTTTGTTTTGTTATTGCAAATGATAAATATTGTTTTTTTTTGTATTGTTTCAATAAATATTATTGAATTCTTATAACAAATAGAAAAATTTACATCACATTGCATTGTATTATCCCATATATTCAATAATATTTAAGAAAAAAATAGACATTTTTGGGGAAGTTATGTTGGTGGCCTATCTATAATGTTGAAATTATATTTATTTCAATATCCAAATAAAAAAAACTGTAAATTGGCAAATAAATTATTTATTTAAATCATTAAGTAAATTAATTTTGATTAATTATTATTACAATTATTGTAAATATAATTAAATCTAGAATGTTATACTTCTAGAATATATTTGTATTTTAGTGATTATGCAATATTCTTGCTACTATTTCGGTGCTTTACGAACCCCACTACATTGGATTATTATTTGATATGAATTCGAACCTAAAACATGTTAACATTCTTTTAATAACTTCAATTGGGGTGGGGTTTTCAATTGGGATCAATGTAGTAGTTTAATTCTAATATTGTGAACAACTTTGTATTCATTCATTATAAATGTAATAATTTTAAATATTTAAATATCTCGCCACTTACCTCAAGGAACAAACATTTTAGTAATGTCAATAAAATTGAGTAAAGAATGAAATACACTTGTTACAAATTGCAACAAAAAAAGATTTTAGTAAAATCTTCAAAAACACTTATCTAAGAAAAAAAAACACACAAAAGTAATTTTAAAGTTCAGGATTAATATTTGCTTAGTTTCATGTGGAATAAACATTTTATTATTATGAGTTTCAATAGTCATATATATATTAATATTATTATTAACAATATACACAATATCATTTAATATTAATTATTATGAGATTCAGAACAGACATTCAGTATTTATAATAATATTATATATCTTAATATTTATTTTATTATTATTATTGACTGGACAAATGCTTTTTTTTATTCATTCATAATTAATGGTTATCATCGTTCCTTCTTCGATCGATTAACAATGGGCGTATTTGTGTATCAACCGAATCGTAGAAAACAAAATGAATAAGATGATAGGTATTTAGGGTTAGCGAAATATATAGAGATAGAGAGATTAGTGAAGGAAAGTGGAATTCAAATTGTCTTCGATTACAACAGAATCCAATGAGAAAACAAATTAACTCTATATATACAATTTCAACAAATCGCCGTCGTATTTATCATAATCCTAAAAACATGTTCAAATATCTTCCCTTACTCGTGTATAATTATAATATCATGTATAGAATCATATTTATATACAGTGGCAAATATTAGATTATTTAAATTTAATTAAGAATTATTTAATCATTTACTTCAATAAAAATTATTATTCATTAATTTCAATTAAATAAAGGCACTTTTTACACATCTAAAAATTACACTTAATGCAAAAATTGGAAGGTTTTAGTTTCATATTCATAAATTACTCCTCTTATACTTTCCTCATATAGGTTATATATGTATTTATGTACACTATTTACAACATTAAATACTTTCTTCTCTTTTCATGGAAACGATTCACACTTATAAGCTCAATTGATTGTATGCTTATCTTCCTACGGATAACTTACGTGGATCAAAGAAAAAATAACTGAAAAAAATAATTTAAAAAGAAAACTTTTTGTCCAACACGCTTTGTTTTATATAATATGAATATTAATTTACCCTATTCGTCCGTAGAAATCAATATAGAATAATTAAATAAAAATAAAATACTGAAATAAATTTATTAAAAAATAATAATAATGAATGGGGGAGAAAATAAACACCTAACTTAAATACAAGAATTCATAATATACAAACTCTATTCGACTTCTACACAGAGATAAGAAAAAAAATACGAGAAAGGGATGAGAAAACAATTAAAAAAAATATATAAATTCAAGAAAAGATAACTTTGGTTTTTTGCTTACTTGGACTAGTAAAAAAAGAATTCATTAAAATAAAAAGAACTATAAAATAAATATTATACTGATGTTTAAAACATAAAAGACAAAATAATATATATAATTACATAATATCTTCATTGTGTAAGTATTTTTTTTTACTTCTTCTTTTTAACTTCTGAGTATTTAAATTAATTAACATTCCTACATAATTAATTAAGTATAATAATCTAAAACTTAAAATAAAAATATTCTTTGTATTCTAATTATTTACAAACATCACATTTCTTTTTTACTCTCATCTGCTGCTTATCTTGTGTTAATTTAAATATACACGTCGGTCTTACACTATATAAAAATCTTTGTATTATTTTTTTGTTCCATAATATCGAATGCCTTATTATTTTACTTGTGATGATTGGGGGAGCTTTTTGATTTGATTCTTGTCTCTTCTATTGAGCAAATGAAAACCATGCATAGTCTATAATAATATATGTGATTATTAATAGTATTTGACACTTAAAAACTCTAGAGCCTAGAGACTTGACGCACATTTCCCTTTCGAAGTCTCAGACTTATTTTCACTTTTGTTTTGTTGCAACCCGAGTGCTTCGATTAGATCCATTGCTTCTGCTGATCAATTCTCTTGCGTTAGAGGACATAGAGAATATCGTCCGGATCTCATACAAGGTGACCTTCCTGTTCGTTGACACTGTAACCGTTTCCGAAGCTGGTGAGCTCGCGCTTCTGACTCAAGTTCTGCGCCTGGAGGATCTGCGGTTGGTTCTGCTGTTGGTTGCTGCTGGTGTTGTGTAGGACGTCCGGCGGCGGGACCGCAGACCGCTGCTGGTGACGCAGCAGGGATCCGTTCGAGGGTAGAGGGGGTGTGGCGGGGGCCATACCGTGATGGTGACCTAGGTGTGGGTGGGCCGGAATCGGAGGAGGATTTTGGAAGTCCAATGGCGGTGGGTACGACAGGTATCTGTCGGACATGTTGAAGTAGGAACCGTCGGCGGGCGGTGCCGGTGAAGGGGCGCTCACGTACGAAGATTTGGCTGCACACACAAAATAGAAACGAGATCGTCAGTTTCGTCGCCTACTCGAAACGGAATACGTTGGCAGATAGGTAGCCCACCCACCTGAGATGCTGCTGTGATAGCCCAATGTCTGGTCATCCCTGGCCCTCGTTCTGTCGGTTGTCACGTGGTGCTGGTGATGGTGATGAGGGTGCGGAAGCGTGTGCGTCTTGTGGGCCATGTTAGGCTGGATTTGCATCTCGTAACCAGGACAAACTGGATACGAGCTGTAATCCTGCTGGTCCATCAGATAAGTACTTGCGGCCTGTTTGCGACCCTCGTCCTAAGCAAAAGCATTTTCAATTCCAAAATTAGTAACGAAACACCCCACCGAACACCATGTAATTAATAATTACCCTTACAATATAATCATTGTTGCTGCCCTCGTTGCTATAAGTTTCGCTCTTCTCACTCACCGACGAAAGTGTCTCTCCGGTCACGGTATCGTTGTAGCTGCTTGGTGCGTACATCTCAATAGTAGCAGACTTGCTGCTTTGATTGCTTTGTTCTACAGTAACATAGAATAATAATATAAATATAATTTAATTATGTTATTGAATTAATTAAGAAATATATGAGTAGCAGATGGTAGCAATTATCGTAATTTACCTCTGAGTCTCTTCGATCGCTTTTTGAAAACACATCCGGCTACAAGGCCAATATTGATGAGGACGAGAACTACTCCGATTATGCTAACACTTATAATTACGATGCGCGGAAGGTCTTGTTTTTCGAGCAAATCCTCGGGTATGACTTTCTCGACTTGATCGTTGATCGTATAAACTGTAAATAAGTGAAAAGAAAAACAGTTAATTACCTGTAAGTCGTTTCTTCGATCTGTGGTGCAAACAGCATCCGATTAGTAATATGTTCATGAGGATGAGAGCAGTGCCGACCACCGTGCCGACGATCACGGCGAACCCAGGGAATCCGCCCCGCGTCTTCTCGTCCAGACTCGGAGAATGATAAGAAGGTGGGACCTTGTCTGATTTGTTAATACGAGTTAGTATTGCAGTTGAGGAGTTAGTTGAAATTTAATGCATAATGAATGAATCATGGGTTTTAAGTACTCACTCGATGTTTTAGCGCTGACAATGTCTGGCATGTATTTGCTGTTGCCCAACTTATTCATAGACATTATCGAGAAGATGTAACCGGTGTTTATCTCCAACCCTACGATGGTGTACTGAGTAATGTTGTGAGGTAGCACGTCCTCATACTTGTATCCTTCATCGTCGACTTCGCGATACCTAATCCTATAGTTGGCCATCATACCGCCGTCGAAGCCCGGAGTCCAGCCCAAAGTGACACTATCGTGCGTGACATTAAGTACTTGTAGGAGTGACGGGGTGTCCGGCACGGAAGTCACTTCCAATCGTGGCGAGTTAGTCGCAAAGCCCAAGTCGTTACGGGCAACGCACTCGTAATTCCCGTAATCCGCTGATGTTACATGGGTTATACTCAATATGGATTGGGAAGTTAATCTGTCAATCTGCAAAAAGAAGTAAAAAAAACGGGACAACGTGAGTTTCGGAGAGTTTAAAAATAACTTGAAAACAAATTACTTGTTCGTATTTCGCGTAATATTTGCCGGAAGAGTTGACGTTGATCGAGGCGCCGTTTCGAGACCAAGAGTACTTTGCCAGAGGGGAGGATGAGCTTCTGCAGATTACGCGGGCCGTTCCGCCAGCATCGCTCGCAAATTTCATGAAACTTGGAGACTTATCTATTTCCGGTTTATCTAGAAAACAAAATAAGTTCGGTTAAAATAAGGTGAAAAAATTAAATAAGGGATGGGAGTGTTCTAACGTTTCACAATGAGCATAACGTCTCTGGTCGTTATATTTCCGACTCCGTTGTTGACGATGCACTTGAAGTTGCCGAGGTCGTCCCTGCTGACTGAGCTAATCCTGAGATATGAAGTGCCGTTTTTATCGTACATGACGGACGTGCGGGCGTTGAAGTCCTCCAAATCGTCGCGCTTCCAGCTGATGGAGTCGTCACTCAAGGGATTCCCCTCGGCGGTGCACGAGAGCGTCGCATCCTCTTTTGGGTTCACGATCACGTTCTCACTTACTGCCACAATCGAGGCGCCGACTGCATTGAATCAAAAGGCAGAGGAGGAAACATAAGAGAAAAAAATAAAGAAAAAGAAATGAAATAACATTGTTAATAAAGTAAAGAGATGGTTGAGGAATCGAAAATGCTGTTTTTCCTTACATTGGACTGAAATGTTGACATGCGCCATTGAACTTCCCTGCGAGTTGAGAGCCTCGCAGGAATAAACGCCGGCATCGTGCCTGCTGAGTTTGGTGATGTTGAGGACGCGGCCGTCGGAGATAATCCTTTCCATTCCAGTGCTCGAGGACGACGTCTGCATAATCGGCAATCCGTCTTTGGTCCAAGTGTACGCGATGTTCTTCGGGTTTCCGTCCGCTTTCAAACTTATTATCAGCGGCTCGTTCTCGATGCCGGTCACGGCCTTTTCATTATCCTCATCAAACACAGGCTTATCTAATGGTGAAACGCAAAAGAGATGCAACAAAAAAAAATATATAAGTTTTAACTAAATTACGCTCATCTCGATATTACTTACATAACACTTGGAGCGTAATCGCATCGTGAACCGATCGTTGTAGAAACTCGTTGGTGGCTTGGCAAGTATATACGACTTCATTCATTTGCTCAGTGATGTTCAATTTCAACTCCATACTGGACACTTTTCCTCCGTGCAAACCTGGTTTGGTGGTGTTGATCAGACCTTGAATTGGAATACCATCTCGCCACCAGGACAATTTTGCTGGTGGATTACTAGAGCTCGAATCACAAGTTAGAGTTGCTTCTTCGTTCGGCTTCAGCTCGAATGGATCTTTTCTTATCTTGATTGTTTCCGGAGGGACTAATGACGAAAATCACAATTAGTGTGATATATTGATTTAAGCGGTCAAATAAAACTTACAGAGAACACTCATGGTGATGGTCTCAAACAAAGGAATTTCAGTAGCTGTATTTGCTGCTTCACATCTGTACCTTGCATCATTGTCAGTCACATTGGTGAGAATTGTGATCTCAGCAGTCACCGATTTTTCGTTGGTTTTAACAGTGGAATGAATCTTTTTGTCGTTCTTGTACCAGGAAAGTGTAGCTAGCGGGTTTCCACCTGCAGAAGTACAGGACATTTTCTGAACTGTACCTGCAGATATTTTTTGACCCGGGGTGTATCCGTGGATGAACGGCTGGCCAGGGGGATCTGATTTGAAAAAGCAAATGAATACTCGCAACTTTATAAAATGTGATACCAAATATTACATAAGACGTTGATGGTATGAGTGGAAAGTATATTTTCTGTCAGCTGCTGGTTGAGGCCGTGACAGATGACGACGTGGCTCCTTCTATTGTTGTCGACGTAGGTTGTGATGTTGGACGTTGTAATCCAACCACCTTCGGGAGAAACAACGGTACGGGTGGTAACGTTTTTCCAGTGAATACCATTAACCATCCACTTGATTTCAGCTGCCGGATTGCTGTTGGCAGTTGAACAGGTCAATGGCACTGGGTCCCCGATTCGAGCTTCAGTTGGACCAGAAATCGTCACATGCAATGGTGAAACTAAATTGCAACAAAAGAACAAAACCCATTTTATTATAAATAACTTTTCTTTCATGAATTAGTGGTCGATTCTTGTTGAATAATATAAAAAAAAGAAACTTACACAAGACAGTCATGTCAATCTCGGCTTTGAGTGGTGTTTTGGACATGATGTTGCTTCCCTCGCATTTATACCTGGCCTTGTTATCGCTGGCTTCTGCAGTGAATGTAAACACGTTCTCAGAGACCCTTCCGGCGGTTCGGTATGCCATACGGATTTGTTCTCCATTCTTATACCAAATCAACTGCGCCGGAGGATTTCCACCGCGACTCCTACAGATCAGCTCAACCGTTTGGCCGCGACGTATCGTCTCACCCTCAGTATAACCCTCAATATATGGGAGTCCAGGTGGGTCTAGATAAATTAAAATATTACAATCTATCTGCGAAGTTTACTTTACTTATAATATTTAAAGTTTCCAATAACATCTCAATGTAAGTAAATTTAGGATATATATAAAATATATATTTACATAGAACGCTAAGTTGAACAGTACTCCTCATGGGCATGTCTTGAGAGAGAGCCTCGTGACGAGCCTCGCACGTGTACTCTGCATAATCGTCCTCTGCAGTGGGTTTGAGGGTGATGCGACTGTGCGTGTCATAACGCGCAACTTTGGGGTGCCTGCTGGATCCGGCCACCTCTATTATGTTTTCGTCTTCCTTGCCTGCAAATTTAAATTCGTCTTCAACATATTTTTTGTACCGAAGTATAAGGGAAGGAAGGAAGCAGAAGAAAGCGAAATACTCACGTATATTCATTTGGACGTTTCCCCTGTACCAGACGATTTTTGCTGCGGGCTTCGCGTTCCTCACCCTGCATTCCAACGTGAATTCTTGATTTTCTTTGATCTCGATCTTAGAATTCGATTGGTGATCCAATATCTCCACGGAATTGGGTGGCGCTGTAGAGACGAGAAGAGAACCGATGATATTAATGGTGATAGAAAATAGACCCAAAAAAAATCAACAACTAATATTGCCAATGTCGGCTAAAAATGAGTGGCGGGTTGGAATTGGAAGGACAAATATAATATGGTAAAAAAAGGTCGAATTCTCTGTATTTGTCGCACGTACGTTAACTGTGTTAAGGGCTACGGCCCTTATGTAAAGACAATGTGCGCCAGAAGTGTAAACTAATAAAGTGGACGAATTTCAGATTTGGAGCACGTACAAAACCGTCCCTTATATCTCTCTATATATAGATAGAGATATACACACACATCGTCACGACCCCTCCAACAGATAAACATTAGTTTTCCTCATGCGAGGATAAAAAGACGATGAAGAAAAAAGATACATATAGGAAAGGAAGTTTTTCGAATCCTTTTTAACAAAGTTTCGACTTTCAAATTTAATTTGCTACCATCCACGCATTTTTATTGCCTCCCGACGATAGATAATAAATGTAGTTATTGAATCAAATAGAATAAAGCGAATTATATAGTAACGCACAAATTTTCAATTTATAGTATTAATCAAAACAGCATTAAATACAACACAAGTATTGTTGACTAAAACTTTAACACCGAGAAAGGATATTATTGGAAAGAAATCCGTAACAAATTTCACAAATCTAATAAATTATCCTTCTATTTATGTTATTTTGAAGTAGTAGTACAGCTTATTTGTATTTATTACTTTGTCCATCGTCCTCTGTAGATGGTTGTGCGAGTGTGTCGAGTTGCGAGAGATATAACAAAAGGCTTCTGAATCCCCACGGGTTGTAAATCTGCCAGAGAGAAGAGAGTTCGAGGTCCTGCACTACCCCGAACCAGTCCAACTCCTTTATAATTTAGTGCAGTTACATTTGTTATTGCTCCAGCGGCAAATATCAACATAAAACATAATATTACGCGCGCGGATGAATTACCGTTCGCTCCAGAAAGGTTAAAGCCTTTTGATATTTTAAAACGTTTAATTCGAGCTAACTGAATGGCGCCAATTATTAACAGCAAATATTGGCTGCGAAATTACATCAAGAAGTTTAGTGAAGGCAACAAACAACAAAACACAAATCAAAATGGATAAAAGAAGGAGAAGCGGAAGTGAGCTAACAGAGAGAGATACAAGAATGAGATTTAGCTGTAATAATAATTCCTTTGTGTTATTTGCTCGCGGGATAATAACAAGGAGATGACTACACGAGGAAGGATGAGAAAGACGGGGGTGGCTTCATTAGCCCTGCGGCCGTCAGCCAACTCGCAATCGCCGCTTCTTTGTTTGTTGTCGCTATTTTCTCCTCCTCGTTCTCTTCTTTTTTGTTGATTATTTTATTTTCTACCTTTTTTTTTCTCTCTTCTTCGCGTAATTAAATCGCCGCCACCCCCAGCTGGAGGGAAAAGAAGAAGACGAAGAAATGGAAAATGATTTACTCCCGTTTCTTTCTCGCCCCATTTGGGCCGAATAAAAGATGGCTTAACAACTCTTAGAGAGAAGCTATCTCTTTCAGCGTGCAACCGAAAATAAATAAATAAATAAATAAGAGGAAGAAAATAAAAAAGAAAGTAGAAAAGAGAGCGAACAAAACGCTTTTCACTTTTCTAGTGCCTGTTTAAAACACGCAGCAATACAACAAAGGAAGAAGGGCTTTTCGATTAAATTTTAAAGCCGGCCGCGATTGCCGGGTAATTGGGTTTTAGTCGTTGTCGCGTCGTGTCAATTGAGTTTGGTGTAAGTTGTAAATTAATTTGAAAGGGGGTGTTTAATGCCCGCCATATATAGTTTATAGTTCATTTTGAATAATTTGTGGTTCGACGGCGGCAAGATGACACGAGAGTCGACGTTATAACATCGGCCACTTTATCAATTTAAGACCGAAACGACAATTAACATTGCCCGCAACACGCTAAAAGCCCCCGTCGAATGACATTCAAAGATGATAATGATGATGGTCATATTTGTTGCTGTTTCTATTGCCAATGGTGATGATGCTGGCGGTTTTATTCGCGATGGAAGAGGTGGAAATTGGTGTACAAGGGAAGTCTGTAGTTTAACGGTCTGCGTTTTCTATTCCGAAGACGCAAAGCAAACGGGGAAAGGAAAGTGGAGGGATATAAAAAAGAACGGAGGGGAATAAGCGAATTTGGATGAACGCCAGAATCGGTCAACTCCAGCTTTATTGGTCCCATCAGAAAATAGTCTGCATTCGGAATGGGAAAATAATGTCTTTATATTAAAACCAAAAAATAAAATAATAGAAATAAAATAAAAATCGCGTATGCAAGAAATAAGGGATGAGAGACAATTATAGTCGAGTTATGTGTAAGACAACACAATATGCAGAGTCCAAAGGGCATAATGCGCATATAATTCCGACCACAATGGCGTTATTGTATTAAGTCTCGACGGTTAAATTAGTAGGAGTAGTTTAGTTCCCAAACATATGTACCGAGAGAGGCCCAGAACGCCGCCCTAATTGCCTCCTGCGCCTCCTCCACCACTGATTTCGGATTATGTCCAGGTGTTGCCTGCGCAGTTTCGTATAGAGCGCGCAATCAGGCCGACTATCTCCTTTTTCTCAAAAGAGATAAAATCCGCGCCAATTTGCAACCCTTTGTTCCCTCAATCTTTGCACCAGCCTGCAGAAGACGATGATCGCAAGTATGAAGGATGGGGATAAACAGGATGACGTCGAATAAGAGGTGAAATTCCATCCATGGCGGTACCCCTATTTGAGACATTCTTAGAACGCCGTATTTGCCTCTCTTTGCCAACCCCCCTACAAAGGCTTGGAAGAGAGCACGTAGCCTCATTAAAACGATTGGAGGACAAGACACATACATATAAAAAAAACAACACCAAGAATTGCATAACTCTTTCAAAACTCTGCGAGAGGCGCAAAGAGAGGAATGGGCGAAATGTAATTATTTATTCGACGGGAAGAGCTACAGCGAAATGAAACGTTCGCGTGTATTTATAAAAGTGTTTACATTGATTGAATTGCTAATTGAGGCGTGCGGCATTGCGGAAACGGATATTAATGTTTCCTCGTGAACGGACAACGGAGATTGAATCGAAATAAATTATTTCAAAGTTGATCAGTTGCATAACTGGCAACATGCTACAGAGATCGGGACAACGGACAGATGGAGAGACGAGAAGTGAATCTCGAGCATCAACGAGATGAAAAAATTCGATAAATTCAACAAGACATACAACACACAGCGAGCTTGCCAAGACGTTGTTCAGATTACCTTTTAAATTTCTGCCACATAAATCAGAGTGCCTTTATGCTCGTATCCATTGTTGCAATATACAACGAGATTAAAATTAAAGCAAGACGATGCCAGATTACGTACAATTCCAAACGAAATAAACTATCGCGGCTGACGTTCGCCTCGGTAATTGGAAATCGTTCCTTCCGAAGACCATTTACTTTTTACTGGATCTTCTATATTGGAACGGCAACAAATCGCAAATCAAATTAAAGACAGTCTTTTTTCTAAACTGCAGTAAAACGGACACAATTTGCTATAGTAACAAGCACTCATAACTAATACAAGTCCATAAAATCTACTGATATATTTCAAATTATAAAGGATCTCTTAAAAACTCCAAGAGATTAGAAAATTTGTTGTTTGATTGAACTAAGACCGTAAATTGAATAAATATTTAGAGAACTTTAGGTATATTAAGACTTATGTAATAAAAGTTGCATGTGATTTTGATAAGTGATAAATGTCGAAATATCGTTTTTAACGGTTGTTTTGCTTTTTATTTCGTATCATGTTTTAGAAGCATTCTCATGAAGATATAAAAAAAGACTATAAAGTGTGAAACTTGGCGTGTAGAAAGAAAGTTTTATAGCATTATGAGGAATGATATCATTGAATGTCAGGGTGGAAAAGCTGAAAAAATAATATTCTCTTTTTCTAAAAACGATTTAGGTAAATTTCTTGAGATCTAGCAAAATATTACAATGTAAAAAATAATTAGAAACCGATTAGGTACTAAATATAGAGAAGACGACGCATAGTTGTGGTTGAAAATGGATTGCCACTTAGGAATAGAAAAATTGGAATTCTTCGAGGTTAAATTGGATTTAGTGTCGTTTCTGGTCGAGCGAGAAAGGGAGAAAGCTCTTGAGGCACGCACACATCCACACACACTTACATATAACGCTGAGTCTGGCGTTGGCCCTTATGGCCTTATTGCCGCGACTGGGTCCGACCTGGCATTGGTAATCGGCGTCGTCCTCAAGAGACGCATTGCTGACTCTGAGATTGTAGACCCCGTGACGACGATCACCGATCACCGAATATCTAGGGAAACCGGCTATTTCAGCCGTGAAACCTGCGTCGAACAAGGAAAGAAAATAGGTGTTAGACCATTGTTACAGAAAAAAAAAACATATCGAAATTCGCGTCAGCTTACCAAGTGCAAATCCATCTTTAGTCCATTGGACCTGACCGGCAACATTGGCCACCTCGCATTCGAGCATGGCTTCACCACCTTCCTGCACCTTGACATCTTTCGGTTTAATCCTGAAGTGCTGATACTGTTGTCCACTGCAAGTAGCGAGCGAAGCCACCAGAAGTATAGAAACCACTGAAAGAATAAGATAATCACAAATTAGTTACCTCATCGTTCAATGAGGAATTAATGCAATTTGTTTTCAACCGTAATTGGGATGGAAGGCCCGTAACAAACTTTCCAAATCCTGACTCGCATATAATCTCCGTTCTGAGGAGTTCTAGTTTGCTTGCTCAGAAGGGGCCTTGATAACAAACAAAAGAGAGGGAATACGAAGTTTTAGGAAACTGTTGCCGAACATAAAGATCGCCTCTTGTTTGCTTCCAATTTTTAAGTATCTTTTATTGGTTCTTCACTTTTTTTTATATTGCCTTCATCCGCCTTTCTCTTTCGGTCCTTAATTAACGACTTATGCAAATAAATATGTCAAGTGAGTAAAGTCCCACGACATCCATTGCATCTTAACTCAAATATTTTTTTTGATAATTAAATATGTTCATTCCCACGCGAAAACAGAAGCCACCAATATTGTTTAGTGTACATTAAAAAAAACAACTTCAAGTCTGTTTATTAACGTGTTTTGTTTGGGCTCCTTTCAACTAAAGCTAAAGTTTTCTAAACAAGGAATATTTGTTTATTATTTTTACGATGCTGATTAATGGTAAATAAAAATAACTAATTAATACCATTCATTTAACTAATGCAATATCAAATCACAACCATTTCTGACTGCACTAAAAATATCCGAAATTTTATGGCAGTAGTAGCGATTGTAGTAGTGTAGAGGAGGTGTGTAGTTTGTAGTGCGGGAGGCCGGATTCGGTTTTTGGTGTCTGTGTCTCTTCTCTGTGTGTATTTTATTACCATACATCCAAGCGGGTGGTAGGAATTTGTTGCCCTCTGGGCCCCGCTTTTATATATCGAGTTACTATTTTAACTGAAACATGTGTTCACTTCCAAACACAGACACACTACAACTACAAAACACCTCCTCCTCCCGTCCCACACACACACGAATATACGGACCCAACGATCATCACCATCGCAATCCTCTTCACTGTCAAATCGCTGGCACAAACGAATTAATTTATCTGCTTTCCCATGAGTTGACCAACTCCGAGTCAAAATTTCTCTCTTACGCTCTTAACAGCTCATTCGAACTAACAATTTAAAATGTTACCAAATTAATTTTTCTGTTCCAAAAGGATAGATTAATTTAATTTATTATATACATAAAAAAATACATTATTTCCGCCATATATTTTTTTTTATAATAAAAGCAATTTTTTATTATGTTTATGGGAATTGCTGTAATCCTCGGATGTGTAGTATAACAATAATTAGTTTATTATTACACACACACTTTTTTATAAATATACAATACATTTAAATTTAGTTTGAATGCGTTCTCGTTCATTATCTTGCAATTACAATACAATGCAAATAATTTAACTCTATGTTATATAATTTCATCACCCATCTTCTGATATTGCTTAACTTTTGTATATGATTGAAAAATTAGTAATAAAGAATATTTAAATATAAAAAAATCAATTAATCATATTTGACCAGTGATGATGACATTGTTAAAACTGTTAAATAACAAGTACCAGATGTATTCGGCAATAGCAATAACCGATTTGTAAATAGTTCTATTAATATAAACTGTAAATGAAAGCAATCAAACATGGAGATGAATATATCAAACTTGAGTTTACACCAATATTCTTAATCCACAAAGCACAACAAGCATAACATAAATATTTTGGAAAGCAGCATCAATTTAAAGTTGGCAACCAACGGAATACGAACAGAGAATACCAAGACCGAAAGAGAAGTAGAAACAGAGAGCGAGAGAAATATAATGAGCAGAAGTAATATATACACGCACACACCCAAACAAAAGAAAGGAGAATAGTGGGCTTTATTTATGGCAGTTTGAAACACTTTCTTAGCAAGATTATTTTTATTTTTCGGAGCAGAGGCGCACCAGATGCGGCCGCTTCGTTGTCGAATGCGAAACGAAAAGGCCCCGTTTTTAGTAATATAAATATATATACACATCTCTCTGGCATAGACAAAAAACGAGATAATCCGTTGCGATTTTATATAAAACATTTGCTTCCCGTGAAACAAAGGATATCACAAACAAACAAAAAACGAACAATAATAATGGTGGACTGGAAGACTACTTGCAGCCGATTGATGTTCATTTTTTTGTTTGTTTATTTCATCATCTTTCATTCTCTGAATTAAACTTAAATTCATTACGAAACAATGGTTAAATTAGACGCATTGAAGGGAAATAATAATACTAATTATATCTATTTCCATTTTGTTGCAATGTGCACGTTCGCACGGCTTTATTAAAGGCAATTATATTAGTATATTAATACGAGTAAATTATAAAACATAATCATATATATATAGAAAGAATATGAACTTTAATCTATGTGAATCTACGGACGAAAAGACAATGAGAAAACTTATGTTACACACACATAAGCGAGTAAAGTAAAAACGTATTAAAAGCTTTTTAAAAGCAACCCCATTTAATACTTTCCGCGATTGAAATTACCTGATCAAATAAAAAAAAATATAAATAAAAACAGTAAAATTTCTGCTAAGTAAAAAAATGATTATCTACATTTTATAATTTGCATATATAAGTTTGAATTTATTTTTTTCCAACAAATTTATTTGGAAAACAACTCCAATTTTCAACGAATTATTCATTTGGACGAAGTTGCATATCAAGTTAAAAACATAAATCCATTTAGTGCTGATTTGGAATGCACTCTGAATTTTCATTAAAACGTAATTTTTTGATACTTTTATTTTCAAATCTATTTTATTTTCATATAAAATAATAATAATACCGATAATCATTTATATTATTAATAATTCATATATTATTTTAAAATAACTATATTATATTTCTTTATAATAATATTATTATTTATTGAAACAAAAAATTACAAAATAAAAAAACTCAATAAAATAATATAAATATCATAAATCAAAGAAAAGTCAACTGCTATTGACCATAGGCCCATAAACAGATGCTAAATGTTACAGTTTTTAAATTGAATTATTAATTCTTTTTGGGATATACTTCATAAATATTTCAAGATCTCGCATATCATATAAATTGATATTTAGATAAGAATAAAAAAAACTGTATACATTTTTTATAGATAAAACAGATTCCACTTAAAAGTACGCATAAATATATTGTGAAAACAATAATATAGATATTATTATTATTAATATTATAGCGATGTTAAATCAGAATTATTTTCATTATTATTACTTAATGGCTACTAATAAACTAATTTGAAGTCGAAACATATGTTCGATAAACTATAAATTAATAATGAAAGTTTATAACAAATTTGATAATGTGAGATCAACACATTTAGATGAATTTTCTAAACGATTCAATATGGCCTTTCATGCAACTATACAGGACGTAGAAGGGAGTTTACTAATTAAATATTTCCAATTAATTCTGGGCAATCGGATGTTGAAAACACATTCCCTTTGCTTTTTCTGTTTGCATTTTAATTGAATGTTGCGTAATATAAAACCGTTTGTTTCTCTACATCTACAATAAATTATTATAATTCTTTATGTAAAATACATGAAATAGTTGTGTAGATATATCAAAAAATGCATTATACAAAAAGAATAATATACATCCAATGTATGGTGGGTATGAATATTGAATGAAAATGAAAATGGACCATGTTATATAAAATATTAATCCGGAGGTTCCTTAATGATTCATACTAAAAATCAATACATTGCACTCGCGCTGCACTTGTTTTACATTAGCAATGATTGACAGCGGTTTCTGCACATTTTTTTCCGGCTCATTTTATTCGGATGTTTTGGATTAAAATTGATTTACGAAGCACGTTTCGTCATAAATTATAAACCGCGTGATCTGCGAGTTTCCCTTCCCCTTGTGGTCCATATTGGCTGGGCATATTTTTTTTATTGTTGGTTGTTGTTGTTACTGTTATTAGTTTTCTGTTTCGGCTTTTGATGAATATAATTTGCCAATAAACTGATACGGCACATGCAACATACGAGAGTCGAATATTCATGAATATTCACGGCGTGGCAATAATATTGGAGGCGCAACCCTCGTTTGCGTATTCCCCAATACTTTTTTCTCCCATGTTGTTGTAACGCCAGTAACAAAAAAAAAGCAAAACGCACCATACATAATAAATTATCATTAGCCCGAATCCACGTTATATCCGCGGTGCCACGTATGCCAATACGTGGCGGATCGCGTGTATTTCGTAAATGCGGATTTTTTAAAATAAGCGGAATAAAATGGAATGGAACGAAATGGAACAAGGAGGGAAGAATGGATGGAGAACCGAGCCAAAAGGAAACGGGGAATAAAAGTTGGCAACAATTAGACGTTAACAGATGCGAAGCGTCGGGCTCTTGCTGCTGCAAAAGCAGAATTTCCTCTGACCATTCTTTTTTTTTCGTTCTTCTTTTTCTTCTCTCGTACACTTATTTCTTTATTTGCCGCTTCCTCTCTTTTCCTCTTGTATTCAACACACAAAGATAACGAAACTGTTACCAGGCACGAAACGGAAACAGAAACGAAAAGTTCCCATACTATTTTACATTAAAGTAAGATGGTTTACAACCAAATTACTGTAACGAAGCGAACAACAAAAAGTATACACCAGACATGATATTCTATACTTGGCAACCGGTTATTCCAAAAAATATATAGCATGAAACCAGTATAAAAGTTGTCACGTCAATTGAAAGGTCATTTTATTACCAATACTGAACGATAAGTGAGCTTCATTTCAATATCTATACAAATAATGTTTTATTACAATAATTCACTCAAGCCTTTCACCAATTTTTTTTACTTTTTTCTGTTACACTAAGAAACTATTGTTAGACTATTTAACTAAATAGACTTAACATTAAAAATGATACTTCTGATCAAGTATCCGACTAATCTGATTAACAATATTTACTGGTTTTAGTTCAGAATTATTCAAATCGATTAAGGTAAGTTTATAATTAAATTA